GCGGGGGGGGTGGGGGCAGGTCCCGGAGCACCCCGCTCTAGCGCCCATCCTGGCTCACCAGGGCCACGTTCTCCAGTCAACGCTTATATAGCCATGAACTGGCCAGAAGGGCCGTCGAGCTGGGATACGGATTTGCCCTGTATTTGCGTACCGACTAGGATGCCAAGGCTAGCATGAATACGGAGGGGCAGGAGCCGAGCGCTGGCCCAGGAGCCAGAAACTCCTGCCCGAGTCATTCCCCTTCTGGCTTCCCACAACTGCCTTCAGCCAAGATTTGTACAAATGGCTTCTGCTTTTGGATGCCTCAGTAGCTTGGAAGACACGCGTCCACGTCCAGGGCAGCTGAGCTCTGAGGCACCCAAAAGGAGATCAGCATCTACCTCTCAGTGTAGGGTTGAAATGGGGCAAAGCGTTACCTGTTAAAAATCATCCATTTCACAAGCTGTTCTTAAGACAACTTCACCTTTCCCCATCCCCCGCCGCTGAGAGCTGAAGAAGTCACTTCCAAACGTGTTTTTGCAAGATCCCTTGCTTTTTGGGAGGAAAAAGGGCAGAGAAGATTTAGGAGTTTTTGAACCCTGAGCAAACCCTTTTGGCCTCTGCAACTAGCCTGGTTTGAGGACTGGCCCTTCAGATACTCCATCCCCAGGGGAAAAGAGCGTGCGCAGAGTGCTTGGGAACAGCCCTACTTACACCACCACCATTCAATAGAGGGATCCCTAAAACCCCTTGCAGTGCAATTTGAGGAATCCCTACTTTCTGCTAAGTCTTGAAAGCATTCCTGAGTCCTGACGCAACCCAGAGGCACACCTAAGGAAGAGGGGGATGCGATTTTAGGAGAAAAGCCACATAGCTGTCTGTGGCTTACACTGCTGTGATGAGATACCGTGCTCAGGCCTTTTCCACGTTACGGGTAGGGGCAGGCGTTACAGGGTGTGACAATCGCGAAAAACAGCGCGGAAGGACTAGAAGCTTCTCTTCCTGGTGACAAGGACAAATTCTCCCAGCGAGAATCGAACGTCGCAGAGCCCCGGCTTCGCTGAGAGCGAGAGTTCACTTGTTATCCTTCCGGCCACGAGCAAACGCGAGCCAAACTGCTCCTGGGCCTCTGCGGCTG